TCTGCCGGTTCTATCCTCAATCGCTGTAACATTCTGGCCTTTTGTGGCTTTTGGTGGAATTTAAAGGGAGATTGTCTCTGTAGATTAAGATTATGTACCATGCACGCCCTTTTTTGTGAAAATTCATGATTCTTGTGTGTTGTCTAGATGAGTCTGAAGAAGAGGCCCCACCACCCAAGAAAGGAGCTAAACCTGCTGCCAAGGCCCCAGTGAAGGCTAAACCTGCAGAGTCCTCTGATGAAGATGAGTCCGAAGAAGAGGCCCCACCTCCCAAGAAGGCCGCACCAGCCAAAAAAGCTGGAAAGGCTGCCAAGGAGGAGTCTGAAGACGACGATGAAGAAGATGGTTAGAAAACCCTTTTCAATCCCTTCATTTTGAGTTTATCTGAAATGTTAGAGGTAGAAAGTCAATGTGGACTTTCTGACTTGTGTGCTGCAGTCATTAGAGAATATATGATGATCAACAAGGGACTTAATACTGATTTTGTATGATGTCACCTTTATTATGAATCTGATGTTGGCAGGTGGTCAGTGGTTGAATTTGGTCCCATTGACTCTGATAATAACTCGACAATGCTTGTGCTTCTCCAGAGTCTGAGGAAGAGATGGACACCACTCCCGCTCCAGCAAAGGCAAAGAAAGCAGGTATGGTCAAGGCCAAGGAAGACTCTGAGGAGGAAGATGATGACGAGGAAGACGACGACGACGATGACGACGATGATGATGAGGAAGATGATGGTGAGTTTTGGTGTTGAAAATATGAAAAAGTGGTTCGTCTGCCAAATTTTGGCCCTATCATTCTAAATGACACTCAATTTAATACACAAATCAATCCCCAGAGTATCATCTGTTTGAAGGCGCATTTATAGTTTCATTTAATTTTTAAATAAAGTAAATTACACCATGAAAAGATGCCATATTGATGAAGGCAACTAGAAACGGATACTAGTGTTTTTCAACTAGTTAACTGAAGCATGTTAAACGTGCCTTTAGTACGGTTTAACCCAATGTGTCTGTTCTGGACTTTATTCCTTTGTTTTGGTGTAATCGATGTCTGAATTGAACATTTTGCAACACTTGTGTCTTCAGATGCCCTAGCGACGCCTGCCAAGAGGAAGGCAGAGGGCAAGAAGGACACACCTGCTGCCAAGAAAGCAAAGGCAGAGGGCGAAGGTAGGAATGAAGCACTGACCCGTCAATCAAATGCAACATTTCATCATGATGATTAACAAGGGACTTAATTCTGATGTCTGATGTCACCTTCATTATTCTGAATCTGTCTGGCATAATTGCTACTGTTCAGTGTAAAATATCAAACTTGATTGTAATTTCTCTCATTTATTAGGGTTCTCTCTGTTTGTTGGAAACTTGAACTCCAACAAAGACTTTGATGAAATCAAAGAAGCCCTGAGGAAATTCTTCACCAAGAACAGCCTTGAGGTCGCTGATGTCCGGTTGGGTGGATCTAAGTAAGCGATCAATGAAACAATAGATCATCAGTACTTGTTTGTAATGCACAGATGTGTTTGTGGAATATCTAAACTCAGGGTTTAGTTAAATTGAGTGCTTACATATTCTCAAGTTATGTGATTGTAAATTGAATACCCTAGTGTTTTTTGCCTTCTGGTAGATTTTCTTTTCATATTGCAGACTTTGATATATTCTCAAACTGAAATCTTTGTGTAGATGCAACACAATACATTGTTTTAAACATTGCTTTCATCTCTTTTCTGTCTAATGACTAATGGCTCTTGCATGACTTGCTTCAACAGGAAATTTGGTTATGTGGAATTTTCATGTGAGGAGGACATTCAGAAGGCACTGGAGCTCAACGGCAAGAAGGTCATGGGTCAGGAGTTGAAGTTGGATCGGGCCCGAAGCAAGGACAGCTCACAGGAGGGCAAGAAAGGTAAAACAAATGGCTTTCATCTGCCGGTGTACGTATAGGAAAGTCAAACTGGGATGTTTCCAGGCAGTCAACTTGAGATATTTCTACATTTACACTTAAATTGCCACAAGCACCTCCATTTCTTGACACGCATGTGGTTGCTCAGTACTCGTGTGTGAAATGTACGGAGGAAAAATAAATGCAGTGCTATGTCTTCGGTACCGGTGTGTGTTATCGTCTGCCGGTTCTATCCTCAATCGCTGTAACATTCTTACATTTACCTTGAATATCCAAATTGTCTATTCTATCAAGACAAGTCTGAATTTTGGGGAATTAATAATTTTTCAGAATATTGAGAGGAAGCCAGCCCTAATACTGACATTGCCATTTGTTCCCACAGAGAGGGATGCACGGACACTGTTTGTGAAGAACCTTCCCTTCTCCGCTACTGTTGAGGACTTGAAGGAAGTCTTTGAAGATGCCGTTGACGTCAGGTTACCTCCAGGCCAGAACGGTTCAAATAGAGGGTAAGAAGAAGCCAGCTGTTAATAGAGAAGTAAATGTTAGTCTGGATGATGTTGCTAGGGAGAATATATAAGGAACACAAAGCTCCTTGAGTCCTAGAAGCTAACCTATGCGCATCCAAACTGTGATGGAAACACTTACCCATATCATCACAATTGCAAAGGCATCGCCATTTTGAAGCATCAACGTGTCTGGCTTTTGTTTTCCGGTACGCAAACCTGCCATTCATGACCAGCACTCAGTATGTCTCCTTATCGTGTTCTAGAGAAGTCATTTCTTTTTCCCTTTTGACAGCATTGCCTACATCGAGTTCAAATCTGAGGCTGAAGCCGAGAAGATGCTGGAGGAGGCTCAGGGAGCTGACGTACAGGGGAGGTCCATCATGGTCGACTATGTTGGAGATAAGAGCCAGAAAGGGGGAGCCGCGGGACCAGGTAAGCTCCTTAGACACCTTGTAAAGCTATGTATGAACATATCATTGGGATGAATAATTCCATTTAGTATACTACTTGTTACAGTCTAAGAATATTGTACCACACCCTCCATTTCTTGACACGCATGTGGTTGCTCAG